TACCCTTGCAACAATAAAAGCAAACCTTTCAGAATGGAGAACATCTTGCCCTTTCTTGAATGCTAAACATAGGGACTGCTAGGTTTTCCCCAATATGCATCTTTCCCTTCCCACACAGCATGGCAAGGTGTTGACTTAAGAATGAGTCAGATTCATTTGAAAGTCCGACAAAGAGTCTTATACCTTTGTCACAAACACACACGCACACACATGCACGCGCAGTAGGTCCCCTCTGTACTGTACTGCTCTATGCTATCACAGTCCACAGTCCACACACAGCAGCTCAGCTGTGACAAGGGCAAGCAGGCCCCTGAGCTACTTCTGTGGTTCGTTTGGATCTAAGAAGGTTCCTAATGCAAGGTCCTTGCCTAGCTGTGAAAGTCCGCAACTTGAATATTTGTAAGTCGGGGACTTACTGCAATGGAGACTTGTGACTAAAGACCATGTTTCTCAGACTTCCTGCATCTAGGCAAAGGCCTGTGACTTGGTTCTGGATAATGGGATGCATGCAAAAGGAACAGAATGTGATTTGGAGTGGCGGCCCTAAAGGGAAGGCATGTGCTCTTTACGTTCTCGGTAAACCTGTCTTCTTGCCCAAAAGGTGAATATAATAGTGAAGCTAGAACAGCAATCCTGAACCATGAGACAAAAATTACCTATTAAAAATGACAAAGTAACAGGATCCAAAAAGCTAGCCCTCTACCATCATAAAGCTATCCTATCAAACTAGGACTGCTTACATCATGAGAAAACAAATCTCCATGCTATTTAAATGGCCAAATTTTCAGCCTAAACTGTATGCCAAGCCAATATCTGACGGCAGGGTTCTCTTTCTTCCCCTGCCCCACAAAATCATGTTCAATTTTCCTTCAAAGCTAGTGGATTTTCCTTAATTAGAGCTATATTTTTAATATAAAATTACAATATGTACTATCACCTGGGATGAATCTCAGAAATCACTTTAAAACTTTACAGAAGAGCAAAAGTCATGAGCAAGTTTAAGTTACAACACCAGGCAAGATCATCATTATTTTGTCATTTTCATCTGCATTGGTGCACATTTGCAGTACATGATGACTTCACTCCCTGTGGGGAGTTGGTACATGGACCAAATACATGCAACTCATTTTCCATCCCTCCCTTTCTACCCCACTCCCTTCATCTCTTGGTTACCTTCCCATACACAAAAGATCCATCTCCCTGTTTCCTATTATCTATCTTTTATTTTTGCTCTTAAATTTATTTATATTTTGGGTTTCTCATGTGAAAGACATCATGTGACATGTAAACTTGTGTATCTGATTCATTTCGCTTAACACTATTGTCTCAAGGTGCATCCATTTTCCCACAAGTGACTCAAATTTATTCTTCTTTATAACACAGTAGTTAAAAATAACTAGGTCTGGGCTGGGGATTTAGCTCAGTGGTTCCGCCACCTGCCTCGCAAGCGCAAGGTCCCAAGTTCGATCCTCAGTACAAAAAAAAAAAAAAATCTAGGTCTTCTTTGTGACATGAGGTGTATTGTTTTCTGATAAACAGAGAAAGATATGAATGCCAAAAATGGAAGAATATATGGACTAAGATGCACTGTTAGAAAGACAAATCACCTGTGTAACCAGTATGCCACACATGGGAGCAGCAAGGGCCACCAGGCCCAATGCTGACTGTGGAAAGGAATTGGTGTCTGGCTGGCCACTCCATGCTTCCCCAGCAGGATTGCGCTTAACTGCAAACATCTATGTTGTCTATAAAGGAAAGCCAATTAGAAGTTAAATGAAGTTTGGAGATTTATATTCTCAAAAGTACTGTCATGAACCCTGTGGGCCTATTCCTCCCCAAAAATGAATATAATCATGGGCAAACAATTACATGGTTAAAATATATACTTTCATTGGAAATTGAGAATTCTAACATTCAGAGAAAACATACGTTAATACTTCCCAAAGATCAGGCATTACTGAGTATAAAAATTAGTGTAAATCCCTGATTAAAAAAAGAGAGAAAAATTTGGTATAAATGTAAATTCCAAACAAACCTAGCATGACTTGGATATTCAAATTGTTCCCATTGTGCACAGGTCTTCTGCACATAAAACCTCTTCAGGGATGGCAACAAACGCCTAAAAGCCACGACTCTCCAAGGTATCATCAGTCTGACAGCAACTATGCACCGTCCATTCTTTGCTTCTAAGTTTAGGGGTCATTTTTGGCCATAACCAGATGTCTGCATCATCAGGGATAGGATCACAAACTCCTTTTCAAGTTTGAGGACATCCCACACAATTAGCCTTAAGAAGTGCTCTGCCCTGTTTCCAGCTATCAGCAGATATTTTGCCAGCAGGTGAATTTACAAGATATTGTCACTCCTGAAATCACTTTACAGAAGCATATCTGGAACACTAGAAGATTCCCAGAGAAGTTTGGCCAAGCAAACTTGTGATATTTCCGTTGAATCCATAAGGCTGACAGCAAGACTGAAAAGTTTTACCTCATTTGAATATCTAAAAATATCTCTCAAGCAAGCCAAGTCACGAATGAACTTCTCCTTTGTCAAATTGTTCTGAGAGTAGCCTTTCTTTTTCTCATAAACAAATAAATAAACAAGGAGATGTTCATTGACTGCTTTACAATATTTTCTTTTGGGATCCAACCTACTTCGGCATACTGGGAATCTCTTGCTGTAGCCATTCTTTTAGAAAACCTGTTGAAAAGGTAGCAGTCCAAGGCCACGGCCCTGAAAAAATTGATTAGTTTCAGGGTGGTAAGCAAGAACTCTTTCAGGATTATTGTCATTGTTATGTAGACATATGCCAAGCCAACTTTAAAAGATTTGAATAATGAAGTCTTGAAGTTCTTTCTTCCCAGAAGCTGCAAAACCGAATGCATTGCTAAGCAGAGCAAGTACTCCAGGTGCCGCACTGCACCAGGTCTTCAACCCACTGTCGTCCTGTCAGCTTTTCCATAGGCATGCCACTAACTTGGAATGTGTGGTGCATCAGTGTCTGCAAAACACATGAAACCCAGAAGCCACACGAAATGTTGCTAGTTGTGATACATTAGTGTACTAATGTTTGGTGAATGGGAAAAGGCACCAGTCCCAGTGTGACAATGATTCCCTTTCAGTATTAGGAAAAGTCAGCAGTCCTACAGTGTGAATATAATCTTACTGAGCTTGGAAAGAGCACGTGCAATAAATGACAAAAGTTTGGCAGTGAGTGCAAAACTTCTTGCTGCACCTGTCATGGTCCAGAACTAAATGTGCCCACGAGCTCGTGTGTTTCGAGGTGAGGCTTCCGGAAAGTGACGGAATCCCGGGGGCGACGTACAAGCCTTGTGCTAGGGCATGGGAGCTGGCTGGAAGAGCAGGTGTTAGGGTTTATACCTACATGGCCCCTCAGCCTCTGCCAATCAAAGCAGCGCCTCTGGAAGGTGCCTGCGTACGGGGCTTGTGGCTGACTAGCGGGTAGGAGGTGGGGCCTGCCTGAAGAGGCGGGTCATGTGGCGTGACCCGGAAGGGTTTGTCTCCCTCCCTGGCTCCCGCTTGCTCTCTCTGTGCATCCTGGATATCCTGTCCTGAGCAGTTCCGACTCTGCCATGCCTTTCGACCCGGAGCCAGCTGACTGTGGGCTGAAACCTCCACAAACCGTGAGCTAAAGTAAACCGCTGCTCCTTTAATTGGCAGGTGCCAGGTACTGTGTCTCAGGGACAAGAGAATAACTAAGACGCCAGGTCTCCGGGGGCCTGACCTGCATCTTCCTTCCCAGCTGCTCTTCCCTTTCTTCTTCCTGAGCACCATGAGGTGAGCGGCTTCCTTTCCCCCAGGCCCTTCCACAATGCTGACTCCGTGCCCGAACCTGCCAACCGGTGACTGAAACCGGGAGCCAAAGGAAACCGCCCCGCCTTTCAGTTGTGAGTGTCAGGTATTTGGTACTAGCAACGGAAAGTAACAAAATCTTCTTAAAAAGACACAGTCTTTCTGAATTATCATTTTAAGAACCTCAGTATATTGAAAATTATATAAGTTGACAGCTAATTAGGAAAAGTATACAACTTCTAAACAGAAATTACTAAAGTCAGTCTGGATTATCTTCTCTATGATAATACAGTATATAATTGAAAATAATGATACCTTGTGTTTCTTCAAATATTTCTCAAATTGATGAAAACTCTGATCACTCTCAGTTAAAGAGGTGGTTTAAAAAGAATTTTTCTAAAAGTAAATTTAGTTCTCAAACAAATTCTCAATAATTATAAATTTAATACAGTAAAGATTTCCTTTCTTATACTATACATCTCATAACTGATAAGCCACTGGCAAAAAAAAAGCAAATCCAACCTCTACTCCATTTAGGTAAAGTATAAAGATGGTAAGTACAGGACCTTTAATAAGTAAACCATCAGCTTGATGTGAATTGGTGCATGAAAGGGTCAGGATAAGTAGCAGATATTCTTGTCTGCAAAGCTTCAAGCTTTGGGAAGGTTGGGATAAAAGCTATTTCCTTCTACTTTAGTGTTTCTATGTATGATGATATATATAAATAATTTATCCTTAATTCTGAATTGTATGTCTTACTACACTTAACCATGGCTTTTATAATTTCAAATATATTTGGATAAAGTGGAAAAAAAAGTCCTAAGTATTAAATATTCTAGATGTTTTCTTTCTTAAAATCAGTATTTCCCCAAGATTATTTTTATAAGACCTTCTCACAGTGGTGTAAAAATTTTGATCCAACTTTTTCAAAGTTACTCATTCACGTAATTATAATAATCAGAATTTTTAAAACATTAAAAAATAAATACATTTCCCAATAATTACTTTCATAATTCATTAACATAGAGCTCCTTAATGACTTTAACCTTGAAACCAACTAGCTCCCTAGCTTTTATTTCTGAGGCATTCTGGGTGTCATGTGGTAGGTTCTTCCATATTAACACTATTGATACCTCTGTAAGAGAGGTGACATTCTACCATTTATAGTTATGGAAAGCTAGACTCACTGAAACATCTTTCAGGGTTTTCTCACAGGAGAAACAGCAGTCCTCTTCGGAAAAGTCAAACTGGTATGCATCCACGGGGTCAGCTCCTGACACTAGGGCTTTCCTTAGCTCATCCACGTATTTTTCTTTCTCCATCGCCATGTCATCTGCTTCTTGGCCAATCTCAGACTCAGAAACTATGGAAAGCATCAGTAAAAGTTTTAAAGTGAAAAATTGATAAACATGAGAAAATACTTACCTCTTACTACTGATTTATCACACATAATATAATTTATACAAAAAGTAATATCAATCACACTACACATTTTTTTTTTGGTACCGGGGATCGAACTTGGGTCTTTGCACTTGCGCAGCAGGCGGTGAAACCACTGAGCTAAATCCCTGGCCCTCACCCTACACATTTTTAAGTTGAATTATACCTTTTAATGGAACTAGCAATTTTTGAGAAATACATCATCATTCTTGAATCACATATGAAAATCATTAGGTTCCTGGAATTCTTTCTCAGTCCTCAGAATAAACCACAGAAACTACTACTTTAGGTACCTTCTCTTAGGTCACAGCCATTTAAATCACTTCCTATAATGACGAGGAAGCTGAGTACTTTAAGGAACCTTTCTTTGTTGCCTGAAATACTCAGTGGTCATCTACTTCTCTCTCACACGGGCAGAATCAAATAAGTGAAAGCGAAGTTCGTTTTCACTGTGTGTGCAACAACAGGAATGATGGAGGAAAGGAGGGGATGAGGAATGAGAAGGGAACTGAAACTTACTGATGTCTATTCCACACTCACACTGTACTACAGGTCTAGTTTCAGTTCCCTAGGTGTCTTTGAGGCTAACATTCTGTCCTTCCATTGAGCTTTTTGTTTCAATAACTGTATTTTCAGTTCTAGATGTTCTCTCTGTTCTTGCTCTACCTTCTGCTGTAGTTTGGCCCCCAGGATCCATGTGCTGGGAGCTTGGTCCTCAGTGTGGCCATGTGACAGGTGGTGGGGCCTTCATAGGAGGCCCTTAGGTCATCTGGGGTGCCGCCCTCAGCAGGAGCCATGGCAGTTCTCACGGGACCCAGACTTAGCTCTTGCAAGAGTGAACTGTTACAAGCCCGACTCCCACATCGCTGTATGGCTCCCAGTTTCAGTATGCGATGTCTTGTCTTCCTCCTGAATACACTGTCACAGTTGTGGCATCATCTGAGATCAGACCCTCACCAGAGACCACACCAATGGGGTTGCCCATTCCTGAACTTTCAGCCTCCAAAACTATGGGCTACATAAAACTCTTTTCTTCAAAATTAGCATGCTCTCAGGCTCAGTAACACCAGGTACTCAGACGGCTGCAGCAGAAGGGTCCCAAGTGTGAGTCCAGCCCAGAAAATTTAAAGAGACCTTACCTCAAAGGAAAGGAAAGAAAGAAAAGAAGGAAGCGAGGGAGGGAGGGAGGAAGGAAGGAAAAGGGATAGAAGGAGCTGGGGACCCAGCTCAGTGACAGAGCACCCGCCTATCAACCCTGAGGCTCTGGGTTCCATCCCCAGTTCAGGGAGAGGGAGTGGGTGGTACGTGACCTTACATCCTGAGGTAATTCCCGATAGTAATACAAAACAGACCAATGCACCTTTTCAAGATATCTGAATGTTTAAACAGACTTAAGAACCTTCTCAAATTAGTCTTCATGTTTGGTCCCTAAAATATTAATTCGAGTCTTCAGTTGTTACATGCCTGTTCTGCTTGTTTTCCTTTCTGTGCTTTCTAATGTTTGAGCATTGTTCTCCCCTAGCCAGAGTGGCAAGTATCCTGGGCAGAAAAAGGGGTCTCAAATGAAATCTGATGTTTTCCCTTTCTTGAAGTGCCTGTAGGTCTCACCAGTTCTAAACCTGTTTTGAAGGCTAATTTTTTAACATGGGTTTTTATACTTGAGGCAGAGTACAGTTTAAAACCCCATATCATACCTAAAACAGGCTTAGGGTTCTGACGGACTTTTCTGGGGCTTTATTGACACATAACCCTTAGAGACTGATCTGGTGCTATGCTGCACCCCCAGGCCAGGCAGTAGTGATTTCTTAAAATGACTTTGTTAGCAGAGTAACTCTTCCAGGTTCCTCTCTTCCCACTGAGAGCTAAGCTCAACTACTTAGGAGGCCTGCAATCCCAGCATTTACTCTGCAGACACTGCTAGAGCAGTCACTTAGGCATATCCTAGGGCTGGGGATGTAGCACAGTGGTAAAGCATTTGCCTAGCTGTATGGGGCCCTTACACTGCAAAAAAAAAAAAAAAAAAAAATTCAACATATATCTAGTTGAGATAATCTGTGGATCTACAGTTGAGCTTTAGTGGCTTTCCATAGATGGTACTGGAGGTTTTTCTTCTTTCTTATCCAGGCAGCACTGTGTCTGCTCCTTTGTTTGTTTTTCACTCTCACGCTTCTCTGGAATGTCTGTGAGGCCAGGTGGCTTCCTGTGTCAGCTCTGGCTGCCACAGAGACGAGAGGCCTGCGTGGTCCTGTGTGCTCACTTGCAGGTTGCCGTGTGCACCACAGGCTGATCTATTCTATAGATATTAGTTTCATTGTATAAAACAGAAAACTGAGGCTCAGAGAAAGATGAAGCAAAGATCTGGGTCATGGAGGAGGTAAGTGGTGAGGCTGCAATTCTGTGTCTCCTGATTTGAGGTCAGGCAGAGATAGGGCATTAGACAAACTATTGTCTTCCATCACTCAGAAAGATACATCAGTTTAAAATAGTACAAAATATAAAAATATAAGAAATTTAAGAATATAAGAAATATTATAAGAAATAATACTGAATAATACTAATAACAATATAAGAAATATATTGATTAAATATTGATTAAAATATTGATTTAAACATCAGTTTAAAATATTATAGAATATAAGAAAATATTGATTAAAGAATCCCTGAAAATAAAACATACCTTTCCATAACATTCTTCTTATGTTATCAGGCATATGGAAGCCCCATGACAGGCACGGTAAAAGGCCTTTCTTTTCATGTGTCCATGGGTTTTACATACTCATTTCTTACAAGGTCTGATAACCAAATACAACTTTCACATTTCACACAGACTTTGAACACAGGTAAGAGTAAACATATCTTGTATTCCTGTATGATTTCATAGTTTCTAAAACATATTCATACTTTTTCTCCCTCTGAAGCAGGTATCTAAGGTAATTTTCACTAACAACTACATTGACCTTTCAAAAACCTTAGTAGCTCTTCTAAAATAACAAAAATGAGAAGACAAATACTTACCACTTGAGGAATAAGGTTTTGTATTGCATTATTTAAGAAGTTACTAATTCCTAGAGAGAAAATTATTTCACAGAGAAACAGAAAATAAATATGTCATTTTCGGGCAGCTCCAGAACTTAGAGAAGAAAGTGCAAAAAAAAGTAAAGAACATCTATAGATAAAACATCAAGTTAAAAGTATTCTAAATTTCAATTAAAGTGAAAAGATAATCTTTCTTTTTTTTTTTCTTTTTTTTTTTTTGGTACCGGGGATCGAACTCGGGTCCTCAGCTTGCGAGGCAGGCGCCAGAGCCACTGAGCTAAATCCCTGGCCCGAAAAGATATCTTTCAAAAAACATGTAACAATATATTCACTTAACTTATCAAGTACAGGTGCACATTCCCTATGATGAATGTTATCATTATACATATCTAAAATGTACCAATAAATGTTTTGCTAAAAAAAATTATCAAGTGAGAAAAAGACATTTAATGAGCATATTCTATGTGCCAGCCATTACTCTAGGGTCCAAGAATACAACAGTTAAACGTACAAACAGGAGTGCCACGCACACTGAGCTCCCATTCACATCCAAGTGCTAACACCGTAGATGACATGTTAGATACCACCTCGGATAGCCTCTTCTAGCCTCCCTCTAGGAAGTCTGCACTTCTTCTGGAATACTTCACTTCTGACAGAGAAGATAACATGAAAGGAAATCATCTTTTTATTTACAATTCCCCCTTAAAAACTATTTAAAAGGTACTAGTTACCAGGACCCATTTGAACATTGTCTATAAACGTGAATGCAAATCTGACTGCCTATTGAGAATTTCAATCCTGGCAAAACAACCTGTTCCCAGTTAAATTCTGTGCTGAGAACATCTGGAAAAAGCACAGCTGTAAGCATTCATTGCCTAAAACTTCAGCAACCGGGAATAAAAGCAATGGAAATCATAAAATTCATCAGAAATGCAGCTGAACCATATCGTAATACAGCATAAAAGTGAGCAGGCCAGAACTCAAGGACCTGTTCACAGATGGCGGGAGGTCAAGAAAGTCTCGCTTTCTCGCCGTCTGTAGGCAAACGGAGAGAGGGAGCGGAAGAAGAGGCTCCCTTCTGGCTGGGCACCTCTAACCAGGACGGCACACAGAGTCATCGCCCCCTTCGGAGGTTATCATCATAAACCCACTTCATTCTTTCATTTATTAAAATTCTTTCCACTGAGCTCTGTCAGATTATTTCCATGGAAGTCATCAAAATCTATGTTTAGGACAATTGAAGTGGATCTAATCGCTTGATAATGAAAGTATAACCAAAGCTTGATTACTCTTCAGTAAACTGAAAACTGCTCCAGAGATGGGGGTACGAGTTTCTCACTGCCGGCAGCAATTCTTACAAGTCGTACAGTGGTCATCAGTCGTTCACCCTCTCTGTGACGACCCTGCACACAATCCTCTCGAATGCCGAAGTGATGACAGGCTGCACAGTAATTAGCTGTGCAACACATTCATTAGCTAAAGCTCTGCTGCTGGGACAGAAGTCAGTGAATTTGGTGCGTGGGAGATTAAAAGGAACCACACATCCTTTTAATTTCACTCAAATGAAAAGAGAAAAAATATTGTCCAAATTGAAGGTTGCAGTAATCAAAAAGTTGAACAAAATGAAAGAAAAAAAGCACAAAACAGGATGAGGAGCAGGAAGGAAGTCTATTTTCATGTTTCAATTATGTAATTGTTTCAATGTTCTTAATTATGTTGTGACCTCCTATCTGTGAAGTACCATACTGTACAAATGCACTGTGCCTTAACTGAAAATAGAAGCAATGATTTATTATTTGCTTGCCTATTTTTGTTCCTAAAATTTAAACAAGAAAACAGAAATAAGTAGCAATGAGCATAAAACATATGTGAAATTTGAACTTTACTAGGTACCTTTGAAAATAAAATGACCATATAGACCACTATAAAATTCTCTGCTTAAGAGGTTATTCGATACAGGAAGTCAAAATGTTAATGAACCACCAGAGAGTATGAACGTTTGATACTACATTTTTGTCACTAAATTCCATTAGCTACAAAACAAATGGTAGAATATACTGAATATATGATCAATGTCAACTGTAAAGATGAAGTGAATAGTTTGCTTTCTTTTTATTTTCTTAACTAGTTTTCCAAATTTAAGATATCCTTTGATTCTTTCAATCAAAAACACCCCAGCATTACAGTATTGTCTAGGCATTGGTATTGGCTGTAGGCTCCCTCTCCTCCCTAAACACAAACTGTCCTCTGGATCCAATCTTGGGGATACGGGGTGGGGGGCCTACCTGAAAACCCTTCTCTTCCCTCACACTGCAAAACCCATGACAACTGGTTTCTCCAACACTGAAACTGACAGCTCGCATAGATACCGTGCTGAGGACTGCAGATATCACCCTTGGGACCTCCATATTTCACAAAGATGCCTACATTGGCATTTTTTAGACTGTTGTGGAAAGACAAATAAAAACAAACAAACCTGCAAGTTTAAATTCAGTTTGACTGTCACATAACTGAATTTGTAACATTCAAGAAAGAAAAAGAATTTCAGAATCTACTTAAATTTTAAAGATGATATAATAATTATAGTAAGATGTTTTAGGGAACTATTATGAAAGTTAAAACAAATGTTATGTAAATTAACATTAAATTATTTTACTTAAAATACGCACAGCATAACTCTAGAAATACTATTGTATGATTACAGAAATAAATTTTTAATATTTCAATAAAATATTTTAGAAGAGCTTTAAAATTTTGTTACAGGAGTATAAAACATAATTCTGAATTTCTTGACTATATACCTTCTGTGCTTCATATATGATTTGAGGATCATCAGCATATATTTTGTTTGCTTATTTGTTTTTGAGACAGGGTCAATGTAGCCTAGGCTGGCCTTGAACTTACTATGTAGTCCAGGCTGGCCTTGAACTTGCAGAGATCCTCCTGTCTCAGCCTCCGAAGTACAAGGATCAGAGGGAGTGCTATCATGCTTGTTTCATCATTATCTTCAAAAGACTTTAAACAAAGACTTAAGAAAAAGTAAACCTCTATTTCATAAAACAACCAGAATACCATGTGTAGCTTTGACTCTCGCATCACAAAGATTTAGGGTAGGGTTCTGTTTAGTTTTGTTACAGATGTAGGACCTGCTCCTTGGAAAATAATTCCAACTATACGTGGATGAAGTAAGGAAAAAGAAAACCACCAGTTCCACCCACACCCACAATCCAACACAAACTCTGGATTCTACCAACCCACTTCCCCTGCCTCCTCCCCCTTCCCTGAGGTCTTGAGAGGAGATAAATGGTAAAGTAGTATTTATATTTTCAGTAAAGAGACCATTTTAAAACTCTAGCCAAATCCAAGTACCCTGGGCCGGGGGATTTAGCTCAGTGGTTACACCTCCTGCCCCAGAACTGCAAGGACCCGAGTTCGATCCCCGATACAAAAACTAAATACATAAATCCAAGTAACCAGACTACACGGCAACCAGTATTAGCTGGGGCACATGCTTATTTTTCTACTTACAGCAGTAAGTATTACAAACCCTTCTATACAAAAATTGCATATATAAAACTGAAAAAAATTATAAATTTGTATACAAAACTGGACAGTCATACAAGTAAAAGCAGTATTAGTTTTATTCCCATATATTGAAGAAGCACTTTAATTTGAAGCATCACTGAGGACTGGAGAATAGCACATTATTTAAACTTTACTTTTAAAAATTTGTCTTTAAATATTACCTGTTCCAATCCACGCTGACTGACCATCGGTAAGTGTAATAACAAAACCAGATCCTAGCATTTTGTCCCAAGACACTTGTAAAAAATGAATTACACTGGGTTTGGAAGCAAGATAGATTCTGCTTATCTTTCTCTCCATTTCTGGATACCTGTAACAGAAGAATAAAATTAACATTTTTCACAAGAAACTATACCAGATGATAATGTTTTCTGTACTGGCCTCTCCACTATGCAAACATCAAGGAAGCAAGTTAAGCCAAATACTGTACAATAGAGCCAACCACGGATCTCAGTAAATCACACTTTTGTTCACCACTGAATCATGGTTTTTACAGATGAGAAAAGCAGAGCCCAAATGACGGGCACAAGTAATGGGGCTAAATAAAAATTATCATCTCAACAACAGGGAGATCAGATTTTATTTTTCCTTTCAAAGAGGCAATAGCCTCCTTTACTACAACAACAAAAAAAGGTCTCAAGAACCAGTGTGAAGGACCCAAGAGTGACCTCAGGACCAGAAAGTGACTGTGGTTACTGAGGATACACCTGACAGAGCATCTTAGTCCCCATCTGCAGAAAGACTGTAAGATTAAGAAGAAAAGTAAGAACAAAGCATGGGAAGAGAAAATCTAGGAGCCTAAGAGTTGCCTTCTCTAAGAGATGGGTGCCCAGGCCTGGGGACTCAAACACAGTCCCCCAAGTCAGGAGCACCCTGTAAGAGATCAATAACCACAACATGAGAACACTACACTTCCCAACTACTTTTAAAATTGCTTCATCGAAGCAGTGTAATCTACAGGCAGATATGTACACACAACAAGCAATACAGATGATGAATTTTACAAGTGAACACACCCATGGGAGAAGTTCTGAGAACACATACCATCTCCGAACTCATTGGAAGCTTCTCCACCTGTCCCCGCCCACAGTCACTAGCAGAGTTCAGAGCTCGGAGTGGAAATACACATGCACAGTGTGTTCTATATCGGGCCTGCCTTCTTTTGTTCATTGTGTTTGAGAAGTTCAGCCATGTTGTGTCTTACATTTATGACCATTCTCAAAGCTGCATAACATTCCATCACATAGATATATTCAAATTCACTTACCATTTCCCTCCGAATAGGCCCTTGACTATACACACAGTGCTGCCCTAAACACCCCAGTGTGCACGTGTGCACTGCTGTTGGGAATACAGCTGCGGGTAGCACTGCTGGATCAGAGAATACCCAGGTGTTTATTTGGGTACTACGCGGCCAATAGCTTCTTTGAAAGGCTGTACCAATTTACGACAGATACATGAGAATTCTAATTCCTCCATATCCTTGCAGATATTTGCCATCTTTCTCATTTCGGCTATTTTGATGGCTGTGTGATAGTATCTAGTGTGGTTTTAATTCACATTTCCCTGACAAGTCGAGGATGTTGAACTCTTTCCATCTATTAACTGAACAGTTGGATATTCTAGTTTGTGTAGCCGCTGCTGCTCAGGCTTCTCAACAGTTTTACTAAGTTGTCTTTTTCTAATCAATGTGCTTATTAAGTTGCTTTTATTTTCCTTTTTAATTTGTTCTTTATTTTGGATAGGAATTCTTTTATGCATAGGTATTGCACCCTTTCCCACTTTTTTACCTTTTTACTCTCCTAATGGCAGCTTTCTATTGCGAAAAGTTTTTAATTTTATGAAGAACAATTCATCAACTTTCTTATATTATGGTTCATACTGCTTAAGAAACCAGAGTTCACGAAGAGGCACCCTTGTGTTACCCGAAAGCATTACGATTCTGCCCCGCAAGGTTAGCTCTCCAGTCCACCTGGAACTGTGTGTATCACGCTACTCTTTTCTCAATCCTCTTGGTCAGTCTGCATAACCACACTCTACCTTCACCCTATCCTAACTAGTTTTAGAACAAGTCTCGACAATTGATATTGTAAAACCTGCCACCTTTGTTCTTCTTCAAGATCATTTTGATTAATCTTAGTCCTTTGTATTTCCACATGAATTTTGAAATCCTACTGTCACTTTCTAAAAAAGCACCTACTCGCGATTTAAAAGAATAATGTGTGAAGATGTGACATCTTTCCAATACTGAGCCCTCAAATCAGTAAGGATGGTATGTCTCCTTATTAGCTAGGCCTTCTTTCTCTCAACATTGTTTTCCTTTTAAGAGCAGATGTCTTACATTTCTTTGGTAGCATTTAATTTTAGGTATTTGAAAGTAAATTCCTCACGGGTCCAAATGTCATACCCTTACACTGATTTAAGATCTACTAAACAATCTATTCACATATAGATATGGCTACAAATACATTTTATAAAAAAATCAAAGAACGTTCTAAACAAACAATTCCCTAGTTTTAAAAAAAAAAAAAAAGCCTCGGTACATGACAATAGGCATTTGCTTTTTCAATATTTTTTCAAGTGCTAGAGATCAAACGCAGGCCTTGTGCTTGCTAGGTTACTGCTCTATGACTGCACTAAACTCTCCATCCACAGTTTTAATGGTGAATCTCTGATCTAATAGAAAAATTAGAAATCTGGAAAGGAAAAGAAAAGAATTTTCTTTGTTTAAACTATCGTGAGGTGATCGAAGCCTGTTCTGGTTCCCTGCACTAGTCTTGACACACTATCCTAGTAAACACCGTTGAAAGCTGGGTTTAGTTGCCATTCCAACCACATGGTCACCGATAGTTAATTATCTTTTTGTCCTGGAGACATCTGGCCCAATCTTAGGACAGTAAAAGCAATAGAAGATAGCCTGGAAATGTCAAGACTGCATTCTAAAACATGAAACTATTTATTTGAAAGCACTGTTCTTCAGACTTCTTTAAAAAATAAATAATAGCTTGCCAAAAATGCAAACAAAAACAATGAAAGATGCTATCTGTATTTTACCATAAAATATGTTACATTTCCCATCCCATATTACATACGGCCAAAAAGAATTAATATATAACATGGGGCCAGAAGGGAATCCCATCTGAGACAATCCTCCTCCTCATCCACCTGTTATTACTTTGCAGCTCCTCAAGAACTTTATTAATGTTTACAGAAATCCACATTTAAGGTGGTAACAGCGGTGCATACATGTAACCCCAGCTCTTTGGAAGGTTGAGGCAGGAAAACCCCAAGTTCAAGGCCAACCTGGGCAACTCACCAAGACCTTGTCTCAATTTTTTGAAAAGGGGATAGGGATCTAGCTCAGTGGTAGCGCACCTGTGGATTTACTATCTAGCACCATGGGGAGGGGGATGTCTACATGTAAAACCACTAATTTCACATTCCCAAAACGAACTATGTTCCTCTCTCCATTTTCTCTCTATATATTTATCTACAGACATACATGGGTTTTATCACAAATATTAGTTTACATCCTATACTAGACATATGGAAAAGTCTTTCTTTTACACCTGGGTAGAGTTTCATACCGCATTCTTAGTGCCTGAATGATAATCCAGCAATGAACCCTGACGTATATTGACACTTTAACCTTCTCCAGAACCCTATGAATAGGGTAACTATTAGTATTCCCATTATATGAGTGAAAAAGGAGGTGAAGTTTAACTCAAAACATGAAGGTAAAGTGTAGTGCGAGGACTTAAACTTTGTGAAATCTAACAGAGCTGAAGTTAAGGAAAATAAGGCCTCTAAGAAACTAGTTTCTAAAAGTTATCAAGGGACTGGGGGTGTAGCTCAAAGGCAGAACATTTTCGGAGCATACTGGGTTTGATCCCCAGCCCTGTAACAAAATTAACTAATTAAATAAAGTTAGTAGGTGAAAAAACAGAGTTAGATCCTGACAGGGATATAAAAAGAGGTTCTAGCTATGGCAAGCATTACCACATGAGAAACTACTAAGATTACTCTAAAAGAAAACCAATACTATTTTTTGGTCCCCCATCAGATGACAGGTCCATATTCTACAATTGTAAGACACAAAGGAAACAAAATAACCCAGTCTTGTTTCTGGAACAAGCAATAAGAAAGAAATTTCCAACTGTGTCTCCTAGACTTCATGGCTGACTAATGACTGAACGTCCTACCTGGGATTCCAAAAGGGATCCCAAAGTAAGTCTTCCACTAATACTGCTCCTTGGAGCTTCTTAAAATGATCTCAAACCCATCACCAATTTTTACTAACAGTATCACTTGGGATCCTATAAAGTCTAAGTCCTCTTATACATAGTAGGCCTTCTCTTAAGGATAGACGTTTGCAGGTTATTAAAACCTCCCTTAGAAAACATGATTTCTAACACCCTCACTACATTAATTACTCCTCTCAGCATTTGTTCTAGTTCACCTCTACCACGCAAAGCAGAGTCCACGAAGCCCTATCTGACACTCCAGTCGTGCTATTCAGAAAAGATGGCCTTTCATCATGTCATTGTACAATTATAATTTCAAGGAAATATCAAATTTTATTTTAATTATTGTTTTTAATGGTAGTGAGAATGTTTAAGTGTTTGGGTGTTTTGTTTTATATTTGAAATATATCATTCTATAGAATTCTATTTGAGTTTAATATCAGCTAAACCTAGGTTTCCATATTATTGCTAAGTCAAATTTACTCCATCTTAGGTTTGTAATTTTGTTATTGTTGTTTGATTTTTGGAAGGGGTATAATTTCATATTTTTACTTGGTTTGTCAAATTATGTTGAATAGTGATTATATTCTTCGATCTAATATATTTACAATCATGATTCTGTCATTTAAAATTTGATAAATCTCTTTTTAAAGATTTAAATCATTTACATAGAATGGTGAACAAAGTAAACTCAGGCACAGACCTCTAAGGGCTGCCGTGAGAAGCCTATCATAGACACCAATCACCAGTGTTACTTGGGTGTGCACCTCCAAGCTCCATCCTTGTGAGAGTCACGAGGGAATCAGAAGAATCCATAGAAAAATCTGCCCAGCCTAGCAATGCTCCTTAAACAACAACAAAAGGGAAAGCAGGGTATTAGATTTCTGTTGCTGTGACAAAATACCCAACATAAACAACTCAAGTGTGGAAAGATTTATTTCTGCTCACAGTCTCAGTGATTTCAGTACATGGCAAGCTGGCTCCATTGCCTCTACACCTGCAGAGAGGCAGAATATCTGGTGCGGAGCGGGTGGGCGGGGAGCAGGTGACAGTCCCACGCCCCCTTCCTCTCCCTCCCGAGAGTGCCACCAGATCCCCATCTGACCAGCGGATTACTGGGCTGGATGCGGTGACAGCCCTCAGGATCTAAGCACTTCCCCAAAAGCCCGTGACTGCCCAGCGCATCCACACAGACAGGCTTGGGGAGCAATGGAGGGAACGCAGTGAAACTGGGCTGTAGAGGGATTCCACGCTCATTTCTAATGCTTCCTGCTCTACGATTTCTAAAGCGATTCTTCTGGTAAATCACCCTAGAAACTTGGCTGCATTGACTTCAAATTTACCAGACTCTCGCATGACATATTTTAGTTAGTTCAAACCCGCTAACTATATTTTTTCTAATACTAGAATACCTGAGGCTTATGTGCGCTTCATTAAAAGAAACAAAGTGTAGAAGCTAAAAAGTAAAACTAAACAAATAACATAAAAGTCACAAATATGTAGGGAATGAGCATTATAAAAAGTTGAAACCAGAAACGAGTATACTTCAATATGAAAAACTAGTAGGCAGAGTTATTTTTTAATTGCAAAGCATGAATCTCTTCTAGATGATCCTTAAAAAAAGGCTAAGAGAATATTTTTACTTTCTAACTTGCAAAAAGATAGTATGAAATTGCTTCAAATGTATATAAATATAGACGTATATATTATGTATAAAAACAAAGAAAATTGTCATTTCGTTGATAAGTGATTAAAAATATTACCAATGAAAAATTTATAAATCATGAGTTTTAATTTGCCCACTACTTAAGAGAACTATTATAGTCTCACAAAGACAACATCTTTTTATTTTCAATTTATACTGAATATAAAAATTGAAACAACTGTTTTGTTAGTGTTTTTAGCAAGGGCTAAATTACTATAAATTTCTACCTTCTGAGTACAGAAAAAGATGGTTAATTATAGAGAACTAGAGTTGTACCCTCTTATATTAAAGGACATAGAAATCCAAAGAAAAATCCCAGAATGAAAGAAAAACAGTCTAAAATTAAGAGTATAAGACCCCTCCAAATTGGCAAATTAACAATAATTCTATTTTCTGTCTAAAGTTTACTTGGAAAACAATTTATTCTTCTCCCACTAAAAGACAACATTACAAAACAATATTTACAGCCCCCTCAATAAAGCATGTAAAAATGTAAAATATTTAATTTTGTACATTTGAGATCATAATCATTGCATATAAAAAGATATTTTTAAATATTTAATTTAGTAAAAACTTTTCCTACAATGAGGCCCTCTTTTCCTAGATATGCTTAATTCTGAAATGCTTTATCCATTTGTATGTTTAGATCAATTAGTCAATACACTCAATATGCAGTAAATTACTCACATGCTCTGTAATCCTTAAATTTGAAAATTACTGGAAAATGTGTGTTACTGTTTTCTGATGCCAGTCATTGAAGATCACATTTAGTTAGAGGCTCACATAATTCTGATGGGCTCAAAACTTATAATTTATGGGAGGGGTTTGATGTTACACTCATGAAACTTTTCCCTCCATAGTATTTGTATACAAACACACACAAATGGACACACACTTAGATTATCCCTTCTCAAACGTGCCTCAAGAACCATGCCTATTGCTAGTGTTAATTTTGTGAAGGCAAAATACTGCATTTGGAATTGCTCTAAAACAGCAGTGGTTTTCATTGGTTCTTCTATTTTTTTAACCCTATTTGAAAGTGACAAATTGCTAATTATAGAGACAAATTCATTTAAATTCAGTATTATAGGCATTTGCTGAAAACACTATCTTTTCCTCTGCTCTTGAATTGAGTTTATGTTCTATAAATTGTTAATGTTAAATAATCTTTCAAAACTCAGTGGACCATGTATGTATGGTTCTATTTCTAGATTCTGTGTTGTATTCCAATGATCTATATGTCTTTCCTTACACCAACACTGTCTTAATTACCGTAGCTTCAGAGGAAGTCTTAAAATTAGGTACTAAATGTCTCTCAACACTGTTTTCTTTTTACTTTTCTAGGTCCTTTTGTACATAACTTTTAAATTTCAATATCCAATTCTTCATTTATAGCAAGTATACACAGACCTGAATTTTTATATATACCTTGTTTTCTAATCCTGCTAAATTCAAATACAAGTTTTAGGGGATCCTAGAGATTTGTTAGTATTTCCTCTGTAGATGATCATTTCATCTACATATAAAGATTTTACTTCTACCTTGCCAATCCTATCCTACTTGTGTCATTTTATTGGCAGACTATTTTGGTTTGGACCTATGTTTCAAAGCCCAATGGACAGGTGAAGAGTAAGCATATCCGCCCTTGTTCCCCACCTTAGGGGGAAAGCATTGTATCTTCTCCATTCATATAAGGCATTTTTGCTGGAAGTATGGAGTATACGGCTTATCTGTTGAGGAGGTTCTGTTCTACTTCTAGTCTCCTGATAGCTTTTACTATGAACAGTTGTAGAATTTAGTCCAATACTTTTTCTCCCAGGATCATATGGCTTTTTCCTTTCCTCTGTTTAAATGATGACTTTTGGGGGTGGATCTTCCAATGCTGAACCAACCCTGCCATCCCTATAATAAAACCACTTTCTACATCCTGCCAGATCTGACTTCTAATAGTTTGTTTTGTTAAACAAATTTCTATCTATGTTCAT